GAAAGTCAAAATGGATGCGGTGGTGTTTGCCAACGCAATAATATGTACTGTCCCGTACCATACTATGGGGGAAAATGTGCACAGACCTCGGGAAATCCTCGTTCATGCTGTGTACCAGCAGGTAAAATAACTACATATCAGCTACACAACTAAAACATGCACTGTTGTTGCACAATGCATATATCTATACATTATGGCATTACTTTATGGTAAGTCAAATCAGCTGCCATTCTTGGATAGATTGTTAGATGATCCTCACATGCATCAACTTAAGGTACAGTGATAGACCGATCATTGCTTCATCAAAATGACATCATGATCACTACCATTAACAGTAGATGCTTACTTGTGCATAATTTTTTACGTTTTTGTTTTGTTTTCCTACGTAAAATGAGACTAGACTTTTTACAAAACTAACAAACTAAACTTCTCTTTGTTTGATGTTGTATACTTTATTTTTTATTCAGATAAAAACTGCCTCGACATCAACGGTAACTGCCAAGACCCTGATGATCCATGTGATGGACACTACGAAGATAACCTTTGTGGAGGATCACGCCGAAAATGTTGTGTTCCAGTAGATGGTACTGATACTTTAAGTGACTTACAGCTATTTTGACACTCCTTCTCATGAACTACTTCTGTCACTGGTTGTACTTGCTTTGCTTTGTTGTCGATGATATGCGAACTGTAGCTACAAAGCTTTAATTCACTGTTAGCAAGCCCATTCTAAAATGAAATTAATGAACTTAATTTTTATTGTCACTTATATACAATCTGTAGCCACAAATTCAAAATTAATTAAAGCATAATTATGTACCAGGCATAATCATATGTACAACATATTAAATGGCTTTTTTTTACTTTTCATACCTTACGTTTGTGCAAGCAGTTCAATCACTTATGTCATGGTTTGTTACTACATATTCCAGGAGATGGCCCAACGCCTGACGGAGATGGTAAAGTACAAACTTTGTTCCTAATTTTTAGCACGTATTGACCATGCGCATCATATTTTAGATGACTACAATGTTTTGTTGCCTACTTGACATGATTAGCGTGTGTTTTAGAGAGTGCTTATGTCGCTTTTTGTCACAAATTTCAGGAGATGGCCCAACGCCTGACGAAGGTAATAAAAGGAGAAACGTACTATAGAATATGCGTCATATCAGATCACTTTTTTGCATATTAGTGAATTTGAAAAGCTTAAGGTTTTGAGAGTAGTATCACTTACGTCGCATGTTTGTCACTTCACAATCCAGGAGACGGTCCGACGCCAGACGGAGAAGGTAAAGTACAAAGTTCTTTTTTTATCACATACATATTCGATATTAGATGGCCATACATTTTACTTCAGCAGCTTAAGTTTGAGAGAGCAGTATCTCTTATTTCACTTTTTGTTACAAATCCCAGCAGAAGGTCAAACGCCTGGCGAATGTAAAGGAGAAATGTATTTTATAAAGTGCCTCAAGTCAGATGGCTATTAATACATTTTCCCACTAGGGAACTTAAGTAGCTTACGGTTTTGAAAGTAGTATCACTTAAGTCATATGTTTGTTTCTTCATAATCCATGAGACGGTCCGACGCCAGACGGAGAAGGTAAAGTACAAACTTCTTTTTTTATCACATACATATTTTCACCACAAAGTGTGCACAATTTTCAGCCATATCATACATGAGCAAGATATTAGATGGCCATACATTTTACTTCAGCAACTTGAGCTTGAGAGAGCAGTATCCCTTATTTCACTTTTTGTTACAAATCCCAGCAGAAGGTCCAACGCCTGGCGAATGTAAAGGAGAAATGTATTTTATAAAGTGCCTCAAGTCAGATGGCTATTAATATTTTTTCCTACTAGGGAACTTGAGTAGCTTACGGTTTTGAGAGTAGTATCACTTAAGTCATATGTTTGTTTCTTCATAATCCAGGAGACGGTCCGACGCCAGACGGAGAAGGTAATTTAAAAGTACCTACTTATTTTCCCATACTCTCGCCACAAAGCACAAATGCCAGTCATATCATACATGGGCAACATATTAAATTGCAACATATTAGATGGCCCAACGCCTGACTAAGATAATAAAAGGAAAAACGTACTATAGAATATGCTTCATATCAGATCACTTTTTTGCATATTAGTGAATTTGAGAAGCTTACGGTATTGTGAGTAGTATTACTTACGTCATATGTTTGTCACTTCACAATCCATGAGACGGTCCGACGCCAGACGGAGAAGGTAAAGTACAAACTTCTTTTTTTATCACATACATATTTTCGCCACAAAGTGTGCACAAGTTTCAGCCATATCATACATGGGCAAGATATTAGATGGCCATACATTTTACTTCAGCAACTTGAGCTTGAGAGAGCAGTATCCCTTATTTCACTTTTTGTTACAAATCCCAGCAGAAGGTCCAACGCCTGGCGAATGTAAAGGAGAAATGTATTTTATAAAGTGCCTCAAGTCAGATGGCTATTAATATTTTTTCCTACTAGGGAACTTGAGTAGCTTACGGTTTTGAGAGTAGTATCACTTACGTCACATGTTTGTTGCTTAATAATCCAGGGGACGGTCCAACCTCAGACGAAGAAGGTAAAGTACAAATTTCTTTTTTTTTTCAAATTACATAGTAACATTCTCTCTCAACAAAGCACAAGTGCCAGCCATATCGCACAAGGGTAACATATTAGATGGCCATACATTTGACTTTAACAGCTTAAGTTTGTAAGAGCAGTATCATTTATGTAACTCTTTTTACTACAAATTCTAGGAGACGGTCCTACGCCTGACGAGGGTAGAGGCGAAACGCACATCTTTTTTGCTAACAACATGTATAATGTAGTCACAAGTCAACTGTTAGAAGGTGCATTTCAAATGCATTTGATAAAACCACAATGTCACTACCAGCTCAGAAATGTGCCTTATATTAGATGGCCAAAATACTTACACTTTACTGCTTTGTATACTTAGACTTTAGTAGCTACGTTTAAAATAGTCCAACCACTTATGACAGTGTTTGTTACTTCATATTCTGGTAGAAGGCCCAACGTCTGACGAAGGTAATAGAGATGATAAATGCATGGTTACTGTGGCCTCAGTGCTCTTGATTTACTGACAGAAGATCCTTTTAATAATGTAATTGATGTTGTAAATTGGTATATTGTAATTGATATATTGCAATCTCACTCTCAGCTATATACGTAACAATTATTACGTATTGACGTATCAAAACTGTTACATACAGCTTAATTAATTTTGAGTATATATATATATATATATATATATATATATATAGATAGATAGATAGATATAGATATATATAGATAGATAGGCATATATGTAGATATTTATATAGGGATAGATATAAAGATGGATAGATAGAGATAGATGGATAGATAGATAGAGATATACAGGGAGACATAGAGAGGGAATTTAAGTTTAAAAGTAGAATTCCTGTAAAACTACTGCCTGTTTGCATCTTCCAAGGAGCTTTTACATCTTATTTCAGACGTCACAGATGACCCAGTGCCAGATGAAGGTAACAGAAAGAAACATTCAATCGATTTTCCAGAGATGTTAATGAATAGAGGAAGTAATATCGACGTTGTACAGCATGTAGCGTATCTAATCTCTTACAGGAATGGCATTGTTGTAGCAATTGGTGAATAGCAAAGTGTACATATCTAATTTCAAACATTGTTCCGTGTTTTCCATCAAGATAAACCATGTGTTATCGGATGCAGAGGCATCTGCCAAGATAATCGCATTCCATGTGAAGGAGGATATCTCCCCGGCCTTTGTGGAGGGGACGATAACCGTCAATGTTGTGTCCCACCACCTGGTAATTTTTGAAGGATCTCTATTGCTTGGACGTTATATCAGTTTCATATCAGCCTAAGTCAGAAGTGAAAACTAATATGTGCTGCCTTATTGTCAGCAACATATCTGTTTTGTTTCTTCACAATTTTACCGCCTTTGTCACCCGCAGCCATTTATCTGTACATATGAAATTAGATGGCAATTGATGCATTGTATCTTCAGATTTGTCTTGTTTCTTTATGTTTGTGATCACTACCGCTCTAAGCAAATACATAAATAGAGAACAACAATTCAGACTTCAATTTTCATGCAGGTTAATTTCAGCACTCTATTTAAATAAGATGCAGTCACATATTCAGCATTTAAGTGTTAAACCTTAAAGTTTCCCACTCACTTCTGAATGATGCCTTTGGCAGATAATTTATCATTTTGAACGATAGGTTTTGCAATAATTGATAATGATATACAATCCAATGGATAAAATTATAGGGCAGATATGCTTGATCAAATGTTTGATAACCCTTTGTGTTGAGTGTATACTGGCTGGTGATTAGTTTTCCTTTCATTGTATTTTGCATCAGCCGAAGCAGATGATGATGATGATTTTGAGACAGGTGACATCACCCAAGTGGAAACCACTGGAGCATCAGCAGAAACAGCAGGTCAAGATGATTTGGATACTACAGGTACAGGGCATTCATCCAGATCACATTTTGCACATTCAGGGAATTTGGGGGAATTATTTTGCTCCATATCCAGTGGTAATGGATAACCTGTATTTCTTCCATTAGCAAACATGCAAGTAAAACAGACATAGTTATGACATGGTGGGCTAGGGGGTAATTCAAGTTGGCCTTTATATAGCTGTTTTTAAGCTTTTCATATAGAAGATATTAAAATTGAATCTTATTTTAAGTAGATTCATTGTATTTGTGAAGAGTGAAATTTAATTTTCATCATGTGTATGTTTCATTATAATTTAAACAATACATCACAGATAACCAAAACTACTGGTTTGAGATTAGATTCAGATTACCAAAACGTTCAATGTATACATGTACGTACAGAGGACGTTTAAATGCAAGTTGACAATCCTGATATGCTGTATGTGGGGAATGAATCATCCGCACTTTTATCTAATACATGTACCTTTCATAGGAGTTGAAGCATCACATACGATGGCACAGACAGATAAACCAAATGTTGATGAGTTCAGAGATATAATTCTGCAAGTAGCAGACGAAAAGGGCATCGACCCCGCCATCATAGCAGCTATAATCAGCCGTGAGTCTCGTGGTGGCACTCAACTGCTTGAGGATGGATCGGGAAGGTATGACGAAAATGGGTTTGGACTTATGCAGGTGAGGACAATTGTCATCCATTTTCTTCACTTAACACAAATAAAATGGCCTTCTGCTGTACCGGAGTTACCTACAGTCAACAACAAAATTATCCATTCCCCCTGATACTCGCTGCCACCAAAGGGTTAGGTACTTCATCTAAATGGCTAGGTGCAACAAGTCATCATATAATGTAATATAGTCAGCTGCCGACGTGTCGCATGCCAGCAGAGCTGGTGTGCCAAGTTGTTTGGCAGTTATGAGAACCAGCTATTAAGATACAGATACAGGAGCGGAGGAGATGAGATGAATATTACAGTGCTACTACCTTCACTGTGCAAGGTTTATGTTTCCATAACTGTGTGTCTGAGTGTTTATGAACAGAAAATCTGGAGAGGTTATGAATCGTATTTGATATGTTGGTATATATATATGAAATGATTGTGCCTTGTGCATTATTACCTTCCTCAAAAGGTTATTATGTGTTTACATGTAGATACACCATATGCAGGGGTTGTTGATTTTGTAATCGGTTATAACTTGGGGTGTGGTGCATGTATCTTTATGATATTTGGTAGGTAGGATGTGGTTGGGAAAATGAAAGTCAAGGTCAATTTCTGGCACTCTTGCAGTTTTGTAAGGTACTGCAGCGGGGTACATGGTATGGTAACTCGTGCTGTGGACATGCTATGGTCTTGATTTTTAAGTGGGACATAGATTTTTGGGCACTAAGTACCTGGTGTGGTTTTCAGCAAAATAGCTGTGGGGTGGGGGAATCCTGGGGTTTGGGGAACAGATGGTTGTAAGGTTAGTGACCTCTCTCTCGGGACATAAACAGTAGACCACAGCTTAACGTCCCGTCCTAGGAACTGTGACTCTTTCCAGTAGCGTGCAAGTCAATGGAACCACCAACATGAAAACTCCACAGCACTCCAAAGCCGAAAAGATACCCAGTAGTGTCGACAATGACAAGCACCCTGGCTATGTCGGAGAATTTCCGTACTCATGTAGCATGTTTCTGTACAACGACGGATGAATTAAACATCCTTTGGTTCACGTACCAGCAATATAAAAGTAAAACTATATACAGCAGCACATTTTTTGACAAACCAAAATCATACATGACGAAGGTATGAAGTCATCGACCCCTTTGTCTAATATTTTATGAATACTTGGAAATGTGATTCATCTCAAGAGAGATGGTCTCAGGTTAGGGTCAAACTGCAATCTCCAATGTCAAAAGCTTGCTGAAATTAACACAAAGATCTGCCATACCTATCTCAAGGTCTTTTAATTTCTTTAGGTTGACCAGGACTCGGGACCAGTAGGTGGACCTAGAAGTATTGAGCATATCCGACAAGCCACAGACATCCTCATCGAAAAAATCAAGGGAATACAAAACAATTTTCCCGACTGGACTCCAGAACAGCAGCTTAAAGGTAAAGTTAAATGAATACATGAGTTGCATAATATAAATTCACTAACACTAACTGGCATGTTACACTTGACTTTGTATTCAAGTTGATAACAAAATATTACAGAAATGTCACAGTGACAAACGTTTACCTTAATTCTGCACAATAGTATCACTGGAAGTTAAGTAGCATTCACCATATCAGTCATACATTAAAAAATTATAAGATAATTACAAATTAAAAGAAATGCCACAACCAACTCTAAAAAACATATTAGCACCACATGTATACTATTTAAGTTTGTTCTTTTATATAATACTGCCCAAATTCCAACTCTGTATGCCCTGTTTTTCTCACACACAGGAGGCATTGCAGCTTACAATATTGGCGTTAAACAGGTTTGGACTTATGAAAACATGGACGAAGGCACAACAGGAGACGATTATGCTAATGATGTTGTGGCAAGGGCACAGTGGTACAAACAAAATGGATATTGATGTCAAATATGACACTATCATTTGAAAGACAGAAACACACGAAGCTCTATCTTCAAGTTAATAGTTTGGTGTGTGTCTCTTTTAAGGCAGATCCTTGTATGGTACATAGTACATAAAGATACTTTCTGCTAAACTTAACAAAATTATTAATGGTCCTAGTTTTTGGTGGGTGATGGCTTTGCTTGGCCGGTCATGTTGTACGTAGTGAAGAACCAGCCAGTAGGCCTGAAACAGGCCTGGAGGGACAGGACCTTATCTCTGTGATGTATGACAAACAGTTTTGGCGGGCTTACTTTGTATGCGCCACCTCTACGGAGGATGACAGATGATGATGATGGCTTTAAGAATATTAGGCTTAAGCATTAAGGGTGCTTCAAAATATGTATGCTTGAAATTATTGAAGTAACCATAGCTCATGTGTAATACATGTTGCTTATCAGATGATATGGCTTCAATGCACTAATTAATAGGAAAAAATCATATGCACGAGACTAACTTATGTAGAGACTGATTATTTCAACATACCTAACATACCTTACACATAACCTTCTCGACAACGGTAAAACTTTCGATGTCGTCTTACTTATGTAGAGACTGATTATTTTAGCCAAGATTAGTTTGTTGTTCAATTCAAACAAAGATTTAGGTATCAGTAAAGCCAGCATAACCACCCTTTGGCATAACGCACCAGCTTAAGGTAAAGATTTGAATAAATACTAGAGAGGCCGACATTTGCTTGGGAGCAAATACAGCATATTTCAGTCCATCTCCCTCCCTCTAAAAAAAATAAAAACCCCAAAATAAATAATTGATTAATAAAAAATGCCGAAACATTAAGGCAGCCATATGGGCATACATTGTACATGAATGTCATAGGCGTCCTCATTACCAAATTTCAGGTGATTGGGTTATAATACCACGACCTACGAGACCTGCAATCACATGATTTTAAAGTAGTGCATGCCAAAGGATTGATTGACATTCTGTGGAGAGATGGAGAGCAAATGTCAGGAAAAACAATTCTAAAAATACTTAGACACAACAAAAGACAAACATGCCAATTGAAACCACTTGGTATATTCTTTGCCACAGATTGCACTCCAGTTTTCACATAACCACAGCTGTTTTATATTACTATTAGTAGTATACCACTATACCACTGCGTATACATTATCATAATGTCACCAAATGTCACCAAATGATATATACCACTGTATAACAATAACTTCAACTACATACATGTGCAAGAACATGTTACTGTGTACACACAAATGTACAATCACCGTCATGTACATTGTAAAGCATGTCCACAATTACTAGGAATGGTTTCTGCCTTAGTGAACAGGAAAAACTGAATTGGATAATCTTTGATTAGGATGTAGTATGTGTGCAAGGTAACTTGAATAATGAAAGAAGCAATTATTGACATTAAATGCATATTCTTCTGCAAATATTTTCACTCTGGCATCATCTATATTTGTTGTTTCAGTCTCTCTAAAGAGTCTCTGTGACTTCTTTAAATGAAAAAAAATACCGTAAAGTTACACAATTACAATTACACAACTATTAGAGCAGTTGTTGTTTTTTTACTTGATACAATACCATTATGCAATGAAAACTTTGTCCTCAAGGAATGTAGAAGTTCCTCTTCCAGCAATGTTTATCAGACATTGCAGACAAAAGTTCAGATCCTTGTAAATGAGAAACTGATTCGAGGTTCTTGACTATACTTCTGTGACATTTACATTCTGCAATGCTCCATACTGTTTTTGTCGAGATATGTTTGCCCGCTGGAGAGTTGTAGATAACCTATAGCAATCACGTTTCCTGTCGGCTCACAAATTGGACGGATGTTCCCCCATCCATAACCCTCTCCTATTGGTCCTCACTTCCTACCCCCTACCTACCCTACGACTCATCCTCATTCGTCGTCGCCACTTCATAGTGAGCGGTTGAGTGTGTACTTCGTGCGCACGACTATCCTACCCTTGTGTCTGTCCAGTTTGTGAATAGACAGGAAACTTAGTTCTCTTCGGAGTTTACGAAGAAGAGAATCTCCGTATAAGTGCGTTGTGCGTCTTAAACACAACATGATCTAGAAAACTCGACGGATGTGTGATAAGCAATGATAACAGTGTGTCTTTCAAGAATATGAAATAGCTTCTAGTATTTTAACAATTACTGGATTCCCAGAAAGTGCTGATACAAGAACCCAATCTAGACTGCAGAGCTGCAGTTACACTCTTCTTTATTGCATTTCCAACAATTTAATTCACAGACTTTAATAGTGTCACACACCTTCAAAATTTCCGAATTACATCATTACATTATCTTCATCTAGAATTACTACAGAATGGTTGACAGCTGCAGTGTGGCTTAGTTCATTAGTTGTGATCCTCCATGAGTGTTTCGAAGGAGAAGGGGACGAACTGGTGACCCTCGTCCTTGTAAAACAACAACTTTAAAACCATTCTACAACTTACTACAACTTAAAGCAGGTATTTGTAGCGGTATACTTGTTCTTATTCAGTAGTTGTATTCCATGTTCTGACAGACATAGTACCCTTGAACCTATATATTCATGTAGAATTTTGATAGACCAATACCAGCTAGTAATCTTACTATCTGACATACGTTGTACATAAATGCAACTGTTACTGAATACCTTCTATGACCACCTTCTTCTGAACATATGAATGCATAAAACAGGCTCAAATATGTAATCTGGATATAGGACAGGTTTTGAAAAGTAAACATGCTATTTTTTGGCTTTTTTTACCCAAAAATTGAATTTCAAAAGCTCATAACTTCTCAAAGAAACGGCATATCGAAACAGTTTTTTTGTAATTCTTGGTTCCTGTTTTATTAGTCCATGAAGTTACATTGAAAAATATCCATATTTGATTATTCACCGCTCCCCTTGGCATTATAAGTGCAAAAGGCCACGGTCCATATGAGGTCAAAGTTCAAGGTCAGATAGCAAGGTCAAAGCTGCCAATGTGCAACAGCTATGATATCAAAAAATATCCCACAGACACCCTATTTTTAAAAAACCACGATGAGAATTTGAGTAGAGTAGAGTAGAGTAGAGTAGAGTCGAGTCGAGCAGAGTAGAGTAGAGTAGAGTAGATTAGAGTGGAGTATAGTAGAGTAGAGTAGAGTAGAGTAGAGTCGAGTCGAGTCGAGCAGAGCAGAGTAGAGTAGAGTAGAGTAAAGTAGAGTAGAGTAGAGTAGAGTAGACTCGAGTAGAGCAGAGCAGAGTAGAGTAGAGTAGAGTAGAGTAGAGTAGAGTAGAGTAGAGTAGAGTAGAGCAGAGTAGAGTAGAGTAGAGTAGATTAGAGTGGAGTATAGTAGAGTAGAGTAGAGTAGAGTAGAGTAGAGTAGAGTAGAGCAGAGTAGAGTAGAGTAGAGTAGAGTAGAGTAGAGTAGAGTAGAGTCGAGCAGAGCAGAGTAGAGTAGAGTAGAGTAAAGTAGAGTAGAGTAGAGTAGAGTCGACTCGAGTAGAGCAGAGTAGAGTAGAGTAGAGTAGAGTAGAGTAGAGTCGACTCGAGTAGAGTAGAGTCGACTCGAGTAGAGTAGAGTCGACTCGAGTAGAGTAGATCATAATTGGATATGGATTGGTTGCTCCTTTAGTCAGTTTCACATAAAGTTCTTACTAGTGTAAATAAGTATAAAAGTATAAGCAGAAGTGCATGGAGAGTAATCAGCTAGAGGTGGGAGTATTTTACTCTACCATCTCGTTGGTATCCATTAACCTATAACAGCAAAGTTTGAATACATTTTGATCCTTCATCAGATAAGGGCCAGTCTACAACCTATAGTGTAAATGTTTAAGACAGGTGCTCTTTCTACTCAGAACAGCTCCAAGAAAATAAATGATTACAAAGTCACTAAAGTACTTATACTTGACCTTGAACTTTGTCATCCCAACCTGCCTACCAAATATAATGACTATGATAATGACAGTGAAGTTTATTGCATATACATGCTCCAGTGGGGCTAAATCAAGTTACAAAAAGGATTAGGCAAACTATTCTATGTTCTATCTATATCTAAACTTCTATCTATGGCATGTTTCTTCTCTCTTAATAGACATTTGTATGCGAATTTACGAGTTTTTCTAATACATCATGGTTAACTGAAGACAACCGGTTACAATCGCTTTATATATGGTGTACCTAACACATAACCTTCTCGACGACGGTAAAACTTTTAATGTCGTCTACTCGTCTTCCAAAGCATTCAGTACTCCAGAGAAGGTGGCTTCTCCGCTGGCATCACTCTCTAGGTACCCGTCGGAGAGCATCATCCATACCTGGTCCGTGCGCCTGAGGAGTAAGACGGCGGTGCTGCTTGCGTGGGTCTGACCGCCCTGTGCGGTCAGAGACACGATCTTCACCCCATTCTTCACCAGCGAAACGGTGCACCGGGAGTCGGCCGCTGCGCCCTTCCTCGCCGTGAATGTGAAGGTGTACACGCCGCGCGTCGTGGCCACGAACTTCCCGGTCTCCCTGTCGTAGCCTCCGCCCACGTTGGTGTGGATGACATCGTATGCCAGCACGGGTGCAAGGACGTCTGTGCCGGAGCTTAGAGCCGCAAAAAACGCCACGGCGGGAGGGCTGGGTCCAGGCGGGCCTCTCTGTCCAGGAGATCCAGGCGGTCCAGACGGTCCAGACAGTCCAGGCCGTCCAGACAGTCCAGGCGGTCCAGGCGGTCCAGACGGTCCAGGATATCCACGTGGCCCGTCCCTTGGCCCAAGCATGTCTGGGATACAGCCAGGTTTGCATTTGGGACCTTTAAGGGTACAAGGAAAAAACAAATTGAGTAAGAAAAATGTAACATTTTTTTATTTATCAAAACAAGGAAAACATAACATTGTGACAGTGTGACAGTGTGACAGTGTGACAAGTTTACAACTTGTATTAACAGCGCCACACAACAAAAAAAAGTACAACTAGAGAAGTAACATTTGCAAAGCAAATGCATAATGTTTACCTTCGGACATGGTCTGCCCTGTTAATTTTTACTCAAACATATTCACATACATGTACTACTAGTATATGGTGACAGGAGCAGAGCAGACCATGAAGTTTGCAACATTATGTAACCCAACACCAGTCGCCATGGTGAGAGACGTCAACAAATCATGTCATTGGCTAGGTCAGAGGTTAGTGTTTAGAGAAGAGGAAATTGAGTAAAAACAATATGTTTTCCTTCGGTAAACATAATTAACATTAACAATTAACATGTACAATTAACATAGTACAATTGACATACTCGTGATTGTGATATCTTTATCGGTATGGAACATCATACGCTTGGATATGGATGGGGGGTCTATAGGCAGTTTTTCATACAATGTGTACAATACTATATTTAAGGTAACCTTACCTACCCTGGAATCCAGAACTCGTTTTCCGGGCCGCAAGAGCCCTTCGCCCGCTGGTGTAAATTATCGCTACGGGGGAGTCTAGCCCGGGGGAGTTTGCCAGCCAAACTCCCCCCGGGCTCAACTCCCCCGTAGCGGTAATTTAGGCAGGTGTGCGAAGGACTCTCGGCTGCCGAAGGAAAACGGCTAACGCCCCGATACTAGTTTGGCATCCAGGGTGAACCTTACCCGGCCGTCCTGAAAGCCCCGGCGGTCCTGGAGGCCCCAACGGTCCCGGAGGCCCCGGCGGTCCGACGGACACTGTGCCCCCGCCATCACCTACCGGACCTGGAGGGCCTACACAGAAAAATACAGAGTCAGGAAAATAGTCCTATCATCTAAGCGAATTCACTTGGCCTGAGACGAATGAAGAATTTGCATCACATATTAACGTTTAAATTTATGATACCTCAGCCAGGTATAGGGTCCTGGAACTGTGTACTTTCTACGTGCCAAAAGTCTGACGTAAAAGGCTCATCTTAGCCTGGTATCCAGTGTGATCCTGGTCGGGGCCGAAAGAGCTCTGTCCCGCCCGCCTCACATGCATACTAAGGTTTCCCGGTGTGTATTACACGAGAGTTTGATTAGCCCTCCTCGCATACTGTCTCTTATTAGCGTACGTACGTAACTCTAGATCTCCTACCGGGACGGTCTGTTGCAATGGGCGGGGGAAGCTATTAGAGCCCCCGAAGGCACAACCTGCCCGAACACCCCAATACCCCCAATCACGTAAGACTGGATACCAGGCTAGGCTCATCTGTGTTGGTGGCTAATAGAGTAATCATTACAAAAGTACGTGCTCGGACAACACATAAAATATCTCAGGGGTACATTGAGCTATAATGACAGACTTGTTGCGTAGGAGTTTAGCTTTCCACCACAAGTCTTAGCTAACATTACCCTGGCAGCCAGACTAGTATCGGGCCGTTAGTCGATTTCCTTCGGGAGCCAACCGGCACTACGCCCGCCTATCTACTAATAACTTGCCGCTACTAGTCTTGCTCCCAAGGTAAATGCAGTTTAAATCACGTACCTGGAGGTCCGGGGGGTCCTGGTGCAGCAATGACCTTGATCTCACACGGATTCTTTGGGCATGCTCCCTCTACTTCTTCCCCACTCACAGGGTAGAAAACATTGTTGAGGGAAAGAAAAAACAACGCAACGACGAGGTTTGGCGTTCCAAATGGGCGCAACATGGCGATGTTGTTCACTTGAAGTTCTTAACGCCTGCACAGACGTATTATGTAATGCCTGGCAAAAGGAGGACGTGATTGGCGATGTCGAATATGTCAGATGCGTTGATAATCTGGACAATGACTTAACAATGATACACTAAATAAAATGGTTGATGTTTGCTTGTGTAGTGTTAGCAAGGACATGTTCGTATGATTTCTACACACCATCCGTACAGTTTGTTTTGTGTGTGTGTGTGTGCAGTGTGTGTGTGTGAGTGCTTCGATAAACCCTTTCAGACCCTTGCATCTTGCATAAGCTGTTCTGAACACCACCTGTTGGTGGTTTTCTGTTCCTGCCTGATTAACACTGTCACAGGCAGTCGATGAAGTCTGTGTTTGTAGGAAACGCGATGCAACTTCGGGAAAACAAACTAAGGCCACACCGATTTAATTTTATGGATGACATCCTTTGAAGACCCCGAAACTAGTGCGCGCGGGCGAAAAAAAAATCCGGCGAAAAATAAAAATGCTACTAAGCCACAGGAATACAAATCCGGTATTGTGAATTTGGCGCATTACATAGTGACGTATACGACAGGCCGGCACATGCTGGATTTTTGCGGAATTTATGAATCGGCACTGTACGTATGTTCTGAGTTCTTGAGTTGTGGAGCTTTGGTAGCCTGGGTGCCGTCCTTCAGAGTTACCACCGGCTTTGTTGTCGCTAACTACCATGAACTACCAGGCCTAGAACCAGGCCAGAGCCTCGGAAGACGTGATCTTTCTTTCTTTCTTTTTGTTTTTTTGTTTGAGATCAGGCGAAAATCAATGCGCGCGCGGATGTCATCCATGAAATTAAGTCGGTGTGGCCTAACCTTGACTACCACTAGCTAATGCTGTTGCCAGAAAATAATCAGACACATATGGTTTCTACATGCTGCAGGGCATAAAAGGTCAGTTCGGCTGCGGGATGACAAAGCATATCCTGGCAACAACCAACATCAAAGTAGATATTTCTGAGCAAGTAGATTTCAGCCTTACTGCATACCCCAGAGTTCCAATGTTAAAGGCATCCAATGCAATTTTAGGGCTTGGAAACCTGATTTTTCTAAGTCAATCTACTAGACATTTATCTACATACTAAGTTGCAACCACACTGTCCTAATGTATATTGACCCATATGGACCGAAAATTCAAAACATTCTGACGGAAAATGGTTACTGGAAGGGCCTTGGACTCATTTTTAGGGTACCTCCCATAAAATGAAGGACTCATTTTGAGGCTTGTTTCTTCAGTTTTAAATGCCCAGAGTATGAAATACTGATTGAAATGTGCTAATGTGAAGCAGTATGTGTCAACATCACAAAGATTGCCTTATCTAGAATATTTCCAATTTTGCTGCTCTAGAATCGAATTGGATGCCTTTCAGGCGGCGCTTGAATATGACTCAACAAACCGAACAAAATTACCCCACATCCAACTGCAACGGGTTATAGCCAGGGTGCCATCCGGATTTTTCCGACTATTTCGAGCGTTGCGGAGCGAAAATCCGGATGGTACCCAGGCTAGCAAGGCCCGGGTTTACTTTGGACCCCAGGCGTACTTTGCAATTTCAGCGTTTCTAATCGCGGTAAGTAACTCCAACCATGAGTTTCGTAAATAATTTCATCAGGTTGGAAGATACTTAGGGTATAGAATCCGTTGGATTAAAGAAGCAGTCTGGATAAGGAAGTCAACCCCAGTGATGAACCGGGACGAGGGGGGATACAAGCTCAGCCACGTTTGGGATTGCATTCTCGCCGCAAAAGCGCCACCTACTTTGGCGTTAAATAGCGGCGAGTTGCAGAACTCCAGTCAGAAGCTCTGAGGAGGGTGTCTGATAGACATCGAAACGTAAGCAGGTGAGAAACTCTATGGTTGTGTAAGAAGAAAATTCTATACCCTAACCATGAGTTTCTTTGTATACATGTCTTACAACATTTCATGGCTTCTTGATGTCAATATCGATAAGGCAACAGCAAGTAATTTTTTATGGATGACATCAGGGTGTGCATTAATTTTCGCCTGATTTTGGACAAAAAGAAATTTTGTTGCCTTCTGACAGCGGTCGACAATGCGCAAAGATGTCTGTTGCCATGCCGGAAGGTGGATGGCAGATAACTATGAAGAGAGGATACAAGACAAGGCTCTGATTCAATGTTTTGTCTCTTACTTTGATGCAGTGATATGTGATATCGGCTGTGTATATGTGATGTTCCCACTGAATAAAAACCATTTGTACAATGATTGAGTCAAAAATTTCACAATATAGGAACCTTGTTTTTTTTTGTTTTTTGTTTTTTTGGCCCGGCTTGTTTTTTTTCGCCCGCTCGCGTAAGATTTGGAGTCTGCGGAGGATGTCATGCATAAAATTTACTTGCTGTACGTGGCATAATTCTCAGGAAGAATAGAAGTATAAGAGTACCAGGTCGTGTGAATAGAGCATTTTGAAATGTTCATGGCATTATGTTATAAACACCATTACGAGATCCTTGTGTAAACTAGTACTTATAAACACCGCTACGAGACCCTGGTGTAAACTAGTACCTATAAACACCGCTACGAGACCCTGGTGTAAACTAGTACTTATAAACACCGCAACGAGACCCTGGTGTAAACTAGTACTGATTAACACCGCTAAGAGACCCTGGTGTAAACTAGTACTGATAAACACCGCTACGATACCCTGGTGTAAACTAGTACTTATAAACACCGCTAAGAAACCCTGGTGTACTTATAAACACCGCTACGAGACCCTGGTGTAAACTAGTACTTATTCGTCTTCCACGGCCTAAAAAGAAGAAGTCAAACCCAGTAAAACTAGTGTCATGTCATGTTGTAGAATATAGTATAATGTTAGAAGTAGATATAGTCTCACATACCACTGTACTTTCTTTCTATGTTGTTTGTAATTGCAATTAGCCTTCGGGCAAGTATTTGCAATAAACTTTCTATAAACACCGCTTAGAGGCCCTGGTGTAAACTAGTACTTATAAACACCGCAACGAGACCCTGGTGTAAACTAGTACTTATAAACACCGCTACGAGACCCTGGTGTAAACTAGTACTTGTAAACACCGATACGAGACCCTGGTGTAAACTAGTACTTATAAACACCGCTACGAGACCCTGGTGTAAACTAGCTATTTAATATTAACGTATCTGTAGAAACATTTAATTATAACCAGAATAATATCAACTCATTTCAGATAATAATCAAATGAATATTAGCGAATCTGTAGAAAACATTTGATTATAACCGTAATAATATCAACTCATTTCAAACATGTAATGTAAGTATTCCTTATAAGGTTTTAGCCTTTCTTTAGTATTTCAACAACAGATATCTCATTTTACCTCACTTTACTCATTTTCACCTAAAGTGAGAAACTTCGTGTCAAGGTGAGCAGGATTCGAACTCGGGACTTCTTGGTTCCGAGCCGAACTATCTGTTGTTACGCCACACGACTCCAATCCTGTAGCTTCCTTTGCAGACTTTTAGAGCGGCGGCGTTATTTTTTTTTTCGGTGAGCGACGCGAGTTATACCGCAGAGGGTTCGGCTTTACCGCCGAGAGGGGTTCGCCCCCAACGACTACTCTTCCCGGCAAACTCCCTCGGCGGCATAACCGTTCCTCTGCGGCATAACTCGCGTCGTTCACCGAAAAAAAAAAACATAACTCCGCCACCCTGCAAGTCTGCGAAGGAGGCTACCAATCCTGTATGTTCAGATTACGGTTGATTTGGCATACACAAAAGATGACCTCTAACCCTATCAACCTATCGGTCGAACTGTCGCGTCAGGGCCTCAGGGTAAGGTGCCGTCTTACAGTAAACATCTCCAGGCCACGGCCACGTATACAGCAGTGCAGACAAAAGAAGACACCGCGAAACACCTTCGCAAGGTGGGTCAAGGGTTTGTCATATTGTCTTGGGTAACACCAAGGACATACGTATAATGTCCTTGGTAACACGTATTAATCTCCAAGCAGATCTTTTGGTGGGGGTAAGACAGTAGACATGAACATGTTTCAATGGTCACCTGGTCAAAATCGTCTGGACCTTAGCCTCAGTTGGTCTAATATATACTGACCCAAGGACAGTGAAAAATGG